TTGGACTTTGTGGCCCCAGCCACTGGCGCCCACAACTACACTCTGTACTTCATGAGTGACGCTTACATGGGATGTGACCAGGAGTACAAATTCAGCGTGGATGTGAAAGAAGCTGAGACGGACAGTGATTCAGATTGAGTCCTGAGGCATTTACTCTTGGGTAAAGGAGAGTCGAGCCTGAGTTAGCAATGTGTACCTTGTAGGGATCCTGGTTGTGGGGACCAGGTCTGTGGGCTTGAGGTCTGGCCAGCCAGGGCTGGTGCTGTCCCTGCCCACCTCCACTTCCTTTTCCCTTGCTCACTCTGGATCCAGTGACAGCAGGTGTCACGGGTGAAGCATAAGTCATATATAGCATTTTCAGGCATGTTCCTGGTAGTTCTTTTGAGTTTGATATTCTAATAAAATAATTTGTAGAAACCATTTGTCTTTGCAGTGATTCCAAATTAAAAGTTTTCTTTCTGCAATCTGAGGGCATGGCCAAAAAGATCTGGTTATTTTTTAGCCAGAAACGTGCTTGTAATGAGTGCTTCTGGAGGACAGACCTACTCATTAGGCGTGCCGTCCCCTGTAGCCTTGTGAGTCAGCCTGGAGGAGGGAACATCCGACTGTGGCCTGGCCCCAGTGGTGCCCACACATCAGCACGACCACAGGAACCAACACTGAGCCTCGGAAGCTAGATCACAGGTTAGGCGTTTCTCTAGATGGGGGTTCTGAAATGTGCAGTGTCTGCTCCTGGCAGGCAGCACCAGAAAGGGCACTGAAATGTACCGGCTGGATGTGCCCCAGTCTTAATAAACAGGTTTTCTAATCCAGATCTTCTGACTGTCTCCAAATTCTTACCTTCTGTTCTTTAGACTAAATGCACACAAAACTGAAAGACAATTCTGAGGGGCAGTTTCCTCAGGGTAGCAATTTTCAAATGATTTGGTGGTAGGACCTCTTTACGCTACTAAAAACTAAGAACCTCAAAGAGCTTTTTTCTTTTTAAATAACAAACTTATTTTTCACAGTTTCGGAGGTTGCCCCAAAAAGCTTTTCTTCTAGGTTAATGCACTTTTAAATCATCATGTTAACTTTTTTTTTTTTTTTTTTTTTTTAAATACAGACAGGGTTTAGCCATGTTGCCCAGGCTGATCTTGAATTTCTGTGATCTGCCCACCTCAGCCTCCCAGAAGTGCTGGGATTACAGGCATGAGCCACCATGCCCAGTCCATGTTAACATTTTTTGTGAAGAATAACTTCCAGAACAATCCAAGGAGAAGAGTGGCGTTTTACAGTATCTTTAGTCTCTTGTTATAAGAAGAAACAGTTGAATTCTTACAGCTGCTTCTACATCCAAACTGGTTTTCGTTGCAGTAAGCTGACTCCACACAGACGCGCAGGTGGAAGACAGGTTCTAAACAGCCCCTTCAGCCAACTGTGCCTGTTCTCTGATGCCAAGACAAGTGATACTTTTTTTTTTTTGAAACGGAGTCTCACAGTGCCACCCAGGCTGGAGTGCAGTGGCACGATCTGGGCTCACTGCAGCCTCCACCTCCTGGGTTCATGCGATTCTCCTGCCTCAGCCTCCCGAGCAGCTGGGACTACAAGGGGTCTGCCAGCACGCCCGGCTAATTTTTGTAATTTTAGTAGAGATGGGCTTTCACCATATTAGCCAGGCTGGTCTTGAACTCCTGACTTTGTGACCCACCCACCTCGGCCTCCCAAAGTGCTGGGATTACAGGCGTGAGCCACCGCGCCTGGCTTACTACAAGTGATAGTTTCTTAAAGGCAATGTGGACTCTGAAAACTTAATGCACTCTTATATTGTTAATACATTAAAATCCACTGGCCTTACACTTTTGAATGAATCTCCGAGCCATGCATGATTTTGTAACATCACGTACTGGTTTTGGAAAACTGGTTCATTGAATTCTTCCAAATGAAATGCATTTCATTATACAAATCACATGTGTTAATATCCCCAACAATAAAGCTCATGGTGGAGTACAGATTTTCAGAAATTCTAATTTTTGCTTGAAAGCTTTCTTTTATCATTGGCAACACTATCAGTTGTTTCCCTTGAAGTGAGAGGCTCATTCCATTCATTTTCCAGAAAATGTCAGCCAAATATTCAAGTCTAAATACCATAATCTGCTAGTTCTTTCAACTCTAAAGGGCATGCCTTGAACACAGCCAATTCAGCTTGCATCTCAATGGTACCACTGCTTTTCCTCAAGGCATCCATACTTCAGTGCACAGCAGAGAGGCTTCATGCATGCTTTCAGTCGTCTCAGAGTAAGTGTTCTCAAGGTCAACTTTTTTTTTTTTTTTCCCCTGAGACAGGGTTTCGCTCGTTGCCCAGGCTGGAGTGCAGTGGTGTGATCCTGGCTCACTGCAACCTCCACCTACTGGCTTCAAGTGATTCTCTTGCCTCAGCCTCCTAAGTAGCTGGAATTACAGACATGCACCACCACACCCAGCTATAATTTTGTATTTTTAGTAGAGACGGGGTTTCTCCATGTTGGTCAGGCTGGTCTCGATCTCCTGACCTTGTGATCCACCCGCCTCGGCCTCCCAAAGTGCTGGGATTACAGGCGTGAGCCACCGCGCCCAGCTCCATTTTTTTTTTTTTTCCTATCCCCGTTGCCATCACAGCTTAACGGTGCAGGAGTATATGAGGGTTTCTAAGGGAAAGCAGAGGTGCCTCTCACTCAAACCTACATTCAGAAAAAAAATTTCCTTCAGTATTGATTGAATGTCTTAAATGCAAAGATTTACAGAAACCGGGAAAGCAGGACCTATTTCAGACAAGGATTCACCATGGAATTCTTTTATGAATATCCTTATAAAATAGGACTTGGGATGCAGATGGATTATTTAAGTCTTACAACTTCAGAAAGGCCTGAGACACACACCCCCTCCTACTATATATAATGATTATAAATAGTATATTTACCTCCAAAAAATTTAACACTGTGCCCTAATGCAAGAAAAATCTGTGGTATAACAAGGTACTGATGTTCTGTAGCTCTTTACTGAAGGCCTCACGTCAAAGGAGGGGAAGGAGAGCAATTCTGTGGCTCCGTACTTCTACCCAAGTCTGAAGAGAAGTGAGCCAAGTTAAATGAAGGTCACGGATGCTCCTCCTGGTCCTCTCAGGGGCCGGGAAAGTCTTACGGCGTTTTCTGGGGAGTCATTACTCTGTCCGAAGTCAAGGTAGCTCAGAGGCCTTCAGGCCGCTGGTACTTCCAGAAGGCCACCTCCCCATCATCACTGCAGGAGGCCAGCAGCCCTGGCTCCTTGGGGTTCCAGGCCACACAGTTGACATCCTGGGAATGGGCCTGATGCAAGTGGGCTGTCAGGGAGAAGGTGGGCTGTTGTGGATCCGAGTTGGGATCCTCCTGAAACACGCGGATTGCGTCGTCCCCACAAGCTGTAGCCAGAGCCCCTGTCAGCTGACACCTGGGAGGAAAGTGACATCAGTGGGTATACCTGACTGATTAGGCCAGACTTGGTCCATGGTTCCTCGCCTGTTCTCTTCCCTAACTTCAGGCCACAGCTAAAAACCTCTTATTAAAATGTTTCCTTAACTACTAAGGAGTCACAAATATCACCCACTTACAACCGCAGATGCTGCAATCTAGTTCTTTCCCCTACTATGATTACCCTAAAAAACAACATGGAATTATGAACTGCACTTTTCTTACTTGGCATAAGCAGTTTCCCATGTCATGAAGTTTTTTTTTGAGATGGCTCACTGCAACCTCCACCTCCCAGGTTCAAGCGATTCTCCTGCCTCAGCCTCCCAAGTAGCTGGAACTACAGGCATGTGCCACCATGTTCGGCTAAGTTTTGTATTTTCAGTAGAGACAGGGTTTCATCATGTTGGCCAGGCTGGTCTCAAACTCCTGACCTCAGGTGATCTGCCCGCCTCGGCCTCCCGAAGTGCTGGGATTACAGGCGTGAGCCACAGCGCTGGCTAGGTCAACATTTAGTATAGTTAATCACTGTTATTTGTTCTAACAAGGACATGTCAAAACTATTAGTTTACTGCCACCACCTTGATTCACGCCGCAGTGCCAACAGTTGACCTCCCAGATCTTCCCTGAAAGGGTCTTGGGACTCCCAGGATCTGCAGACCACATTCTTCGAGAACCACTACTCTGGGTATCGCCCCACTGTCTTTCTAAAATCTAAGGTCACGGCTTAAACTTAGGGGAAGGCTGTAGCTCTGGAGACCACTGTCACGTTAGAACCCATTTAGAACTGTCAAGAGACAACTCGAGTGAGCCTGAAAACTGCCTGTCCATGGCAGTGTTTCCCAACGGGTCTTCATCGCCAGTCCCCTAGGGAGCTTCTTCCTGATCACTCCCTGCCATGAAAATGGAATGTCACAGCCACACTGTATGTGCTGTGGGCCTTAGGAGGGCCACAAACTGATTTTATTTTATCCCTACTGAGGAACCAGTTTGCATCCCTTTGAGAATATAGGGCTTGTGGCCAGTAATAACTCTCCCTTTTCTTGTCTTTCCCCATTTTTTTTTTTTTTTTGAGACGGAGTCTCGCTCTGTCGCCCAGGCTGGAGTTCAGTGGCGCGATCTCGGCTCACTGCAAGCTCCGCCTCCCGGGTTCACGCCATTCTCCTGCCTCAGCCTCCCAAGTAGCTGGGACTACAGGCGCCGCCACCTCGCCCAGCTAATTTTTTGTATTTTTAGTAGAGATGGGGTTTCACCGTGGTCTCGATCTCCTGACCTTGTGATCCACCCGCCTCGGCCTCCCAAAGTGCTGGGATTACAGGCGTGAGCCACCGCGCCCAGCTCCATTTTTTTTTTTTTTTCCTATCCCCGTTGCCATCACAGCTTAACGGTGCAGGAGTATATGAGGGTTTCTAAGGGAAAGCAGAGGTGCCTCTCACTCAAACCTACATTCAGAAAAAAAATTTCCTTCAGTATTGATTGAATGTCTTAAATGCAAAGATTTACAGAAACCGGGAAAGCAGGACCTATTTCAGACAAGGATTCACCATGGAATTCTTTTATGAATATCCTTATAAAATAGGACTTGGGATGCAGATGGATTATTTAAGTCTTACAACTTCAGAAAGGCCTGAGACACACACCCCCTCCTACTATATATAATGATTATAAATAGTATATTTACCTCCAAAAAATTTAACACTGTGCCCTAATGCAAGAAAAATCTGTGGTATAACAAGGTACTGATGTTCTGTAGCTCTTTACTGAAGGCCTCACGTCAAAGGAGGGGAAGGAGAGCAATTCTGTGGCTCCGTACTTCTACCCAAGTCTGAAGAGAAGTGAGCCAAGTTAAATGAAGGTCACGGATGCTCCTCCTGGTCCTCTCAGGGGCCGGGAAAGTCTTACGGCGTTTTCTGGGGAGTCATTACTCTGTCCGAAGTCAAGGTAGCTCAGAGGCCTTCAGGCCGCTGGTACTTCCAGAAGGCCACCTCCCCATCATCACTGCAGGAGGCCAGCAGCCCTGGCTCCTTGGGGTTCCAGGCCACACAGTTGACATCCTGGGAATGGGCCTGATGCAAGTGGGCTGTCAGGGAGAAGGTGGGCTGTTGTGGATCCGAGTTGGGATCCTCCTGAAACACGCGGATTGCGTCGTCCCCACAAGCTGTAGCCAGAGCCCCTGTCAGCTGACACCTGGGAGGAAAGTGACATCAGTGGGTATACCTGACTGATTAGGCCAGACTTGGTCCATGGTTCCTCGCCTGTTCTCTTCCCTAACTTCAGGCCACAGCTAAAAACCTCTTATTAAAATGTTTCCTTAACTACTAAGGAGTCACAAATATCACCCACTTACAACCGCAGATGCTGCAATCTAGTTCTTTCCCCTACTATGATTACCCTAAAAAACAACATGGAATTATGAACTGCACTTTTCTTACTTGGCATAAGCAGTTTCCCATGTCATGAAGTTTTTTTTTGAGATGGCTCACTGCAACCTCCACCTCCCAGGTTCAAGCGATTCTCCTGCCTCAGCCTCCCAAGTAGCTGGAACTACAGGCATGTGCCACCATGTTCGGCTAAATTTTGTATTTTCAGTAGAGACAGGGTTTCATCATGTTGGCCAGGCTGGTCTCAAACTCCTGACCTCAAGTGATCCACCCACCTCCGCCTCCCAAAGTGCTGGGATGACAGGCATGAGTCACTGGGCCCAGCCATCATAAAGTATTTATTTATTTTTTTTAGATGGAGTCTTGCTCTATCACCAGGCTGGAGTGCAGTGGCGCAATCTCGGCTCACTGCAACCTCTGCCTCCCAGGTTCAAGCGATTCTCCTGCCTCAGCCTCCGAGTAGCTGGGATTACAGGCGTGCACCACCACGCCCAACTAATTTTTGTATTTTTAGTAGAGACAGGGTTTCACCACATTGATCAGGCTGGTCTTGAACTCCTGACATCATGATTCGCCCACTTCGGCCTCCCAAAGTGTTGGGATTACAGGCGTGAGCCACCGCTCCCCGCCCCATCATAAAGTATTCTTAACCCCTTTCTTTAAACAGTGATGTAACAAGCTAAGTTCTACCATAATTTACTTAAGTTCACTTTTGTTGAATAGGTGATTCCCAAATGTTTGCTAATATAAAGCAAGCTTGAGTACTCAGTTTTTTTTCACTCTCTGGTCCTAGGGATCAACTCTCAGGGCCAGAACTACCCTCTGACCTACTCTCCTATATGAATGGTGCAGCTTTTCCAGCTTCTGCAAGGGCAGAGTCAGCGTTACCCATAAAAACCCCAGCCACTGCGTGGCGCGGTGGCTCACGCCTGTAATCCCAGCACTTTGGGAGGCCAAGGCGGGCGGATCACAAGGTCAGGAGATCGAGACCATCCTGGCTAACACAGTGAAACCCCTCTCTACTAAAAATACAAAAAATTAGCTGGGCGTGGTGACGGGCGCCTGTAGTCCCAGCTACTCGGGAGGCTGAGGAAGGAGAATGGTGTGAACCCGGGAGGTGGAGCTTGCAGTGAGCCGAGATCACGCCACTGCACTCCAGCCTGGCCTGCAGACTGAGACTCTGTCTCAAAATAAATAAATAAATAAATAAATAACAACCCAGTCATGAATGCACAGATTCGATAACTTCTGGACGGCACAAGCTGCGTGAACCCCGAGTGCTGGTGCTGCCCTCACAGCCTGGGACTGTTCCCTGCTCCTGTGAACACCAGCCCAGCCAGCTGTAAAGCAGCATGCTGGAGTCAGGCCTGATAAGGAATGGGGGTGGCTGCCCTCGATTCCTAAGCACTCCCCCAGGGTTGCAGAGGACTGCATGGGGCATGCCTTCTCTAAAATCCCTCCTTTATGGGGATGGGATGGGGGTGGGGGATGGAGTCTTACCAAGCAATGTCATAAATGGTCCTTGAGTGGAAGCCCGACAAAGTACAGATACATTTCCAACTGGGGTCAGAGCCGCTGCAATGAAGCAGCCCAGTTCCACAAAGCTTTCCTGATTGTTCAGTACTCTACCGGAACCCTCTTGTGGCCACATTTACCTTCTTACCCCATTTGCTCCGACTTAGCAGACTCGTGAACCCCTTGAGAGAGGGTCTTCTTTAGCTCTACTAATGGACCCCTCACCTTGTCATTGCCGGTAGATTACTGATGCCAGATGCGCACAGTTGCCGGTCATCACTACAAGACGCCAGGCGCTGGCCATCGGGTCAAAGGCCAAGCTCCACACAGTCGGTTCATGGCCCTTCAAGGCTGGCACAGCATACCCAGTCATCTCTTCCTCCCGGTACAGCTTCACTGTGTCATCGTAGCTGGCAGAAGGCTAAGAGCTGCGGGGAAGAGGGAAAGGAGACCAACTTGTGTCTGTGTGGCCCAGGAAGTGCAGGACAGGTCAGTCCCAGGGATCTGCTTTTATGTTTTTATTTTATTTTATTTTTAATTTGGAGACGACAGTTTGCGTCTTCGTTGCCCAGGCTTGGACGTGCATAGCA